CACGAGACCCCAAACACATAATAACTACGGTGTTAAACCACCATTTTGATTGCCTTATTTCTGCTTTCTTAAGTAAAATGAATTCCAGTTGGAAACTCGTTTGCATCTGGAGTCCTGGAGCGTTTAACGTGACACGGAGACAAGCTAAAACACCTTTCCGAGGATGTAGCTGTAGCAGCTCCTGCTCTTTCAGAGGAGAGGAGCTCCAAAGCGATTGATGGCTAATCAGCGTGAGTGCAAAATGGGATGCGAGACGCCAGCCCCGTCATTGCCCATTCATCGTGACCCACCAGGGAAGGGGGTTGCAACCCTGGATGCTCCTTCTCCTCCCTGAAACTCTCCTCCTGGTGCCACGTGAGGTGTTTTCCACCAGTCTCATAGTCAGATGCTAACCCCACAGAAGTCCGCGAGGGCCGTTAGACGCAGCTAACCGCTGGTTTCCCCAAACCCAGCAAGCTCTGCTGGCACAACGAGCAAAATGCTTTCGGTTTTGAGAGTGGCAGCTCCGGCAGAAAGCCACAACGAGCAGAGCAATCGTGCTGTAGCCAGAGACGTGTTTTGAAGTCACTAAGAGTTTGTGTTCCCATTTAAACACTGGGTGATGGTGAGGTAAGACGTGGACACAAAGTCATTGAATATCGTATTTTATATATTGCCAAATAACGGCTGCAGGTCACTGCGGCAAGAAGAGATACTCTGGGACTGTAAATAAAACATTCAAAACCATCTTGAGTCTCTTATTTAAAGAAAAAGGTGGCAATCTTCCCTGCATCTAAATCAAACAGTCGCAGAGGAGCCGCAGTCTGGGAGAACAGCAGGAACCGTACGCAGAGGTCCCAAATCAGGAGCAGGTCCTGAGGAACGCATCTGGAGAGACGCAAGATGAAGACGAGAGGTGAACCTTGCTCGCTATGTCCGTGCAAGTGCTCCATGTCCTTCATATTGCAGATAAGGACAAATCTGAGACCCTATCGTGAATTTGCAACATGGGAAATTCCTGTTAGAAACAAAGGGAGGAAAAAACCCTCTATAAGGGCAGTCAAACACTGAACCAGGGGCCAGGGAGGGTGCAAAACCTCTGCCCTGGGTGGTCCCCAAGGCTCAGTGGGACAACAGGGTCTGAGTTGGCCGCGGTTGGTGTGGGTGGCTATACCGGAGACCTCCCAGGGACCCCCACGGCAGCAGAGCTGATAAGAGAGGAATGGGAGCACAAACAGCCTGGGAGGGTGTTTGCCCCAGGCTGACAGTGCCAGCCGGGCGGCCAACCGTCGGCTGGATTAAATAATAACCACGGAATTATCAGGAAGCTGATTGACCCTGGGTGCCTGTTAGTTGTGTGTCGTTAATAAATCAGCAAACCGCTTTGATCCTGACTTGATTTAATCCAACCGAGCAGCTTCTCCCTCCAACCCAAGTTCTTACATGTCTCCAGGATAGCGCTAGGGCTAAGCCGTCGCTCCAGATTTTGCCATGGTCCTGACAGAACCTGCAGTCTGTACGGGCTGAGGTAATACCCAAATTGGAGTATTTTTGCTTTTTTTCACGTATGCAACGTCTGTGCACCACCCGGCAGCTCTCTCCGCAGGAAGGCGGTGGGAGAGACATCCGGGCAGGCAACGGCATCGGGCCAGGCTGGCATGGGCTGCAGAACATTGGGTCTGAAGGAGAAGGCTGCTGAGCAGCATCGTAGCTCCTGTGATCTGCGCTGGTCGGGGAACCGTGGAGATCATGGCTTTGATTGCTGCCACAGGGAGATGGAAAGCAAAGGTGCGGAGCAGTGGGTAGGGGCTGCTGGATAGTATCTGCCTTTGGGGAGATTCATCACTACTGCATCATAAAACGCTTTCGAAGTGCCTTCAATCACAATAAAGGTCACCCAAATACCGTATTTAACTTAAATTTTTAGCTGTCTAAAATTAAATGAGATGTAGGGTGCTGTTAATCACTTAATGAGGTTTGAGTATGAAAAAAGAAAAAATTATTTCCCACGTAGCATACCAATTACTTGCTGGAATCTATATTTTTCTTGCTAAAGGTGTTGGCATCCTGAGGCTACTTATTATGGTCCCTAATGACTTTCCAATGCTGTCTTGAAATGGAATTTCAGTTAGTGGAATAGTAGAATTCACCCCCTGTTTATTCTGATTTGCTAAGCAAAAGCGAGAGCAACACATGACACAGCTCGTCATTCGAGTCCAACCAATGGCAGAACTTTTTTCCATATTCTTCTGGTTTAATTTGCCCTAATACATAGGATTGAATAAATGGTAGAGGGCAAAATTTTAAATGAGGAGTAGCGCATGCTCGTAGTCCTACCTGTGTCTTCATTAGGTTAAATTAACTACTAAATGTAATTATCGACGTTTGGAGAACTGAGTGAAACTATTAGTATCCTGAACCAGCTGAGGATAGTGACTGAGCCAGTGCAGCTTCTAAGTCAAAGTGCAGAAGACCCCAAAAATGTTATCAATCTGAGATATTTAATCAAAACCTGAGAATATCACCCACATCTCCATTCTATCTGGCCATAAATTTACAACATTCATTTCATTTTTTTGGTGAGTCTCCTGAAAGCCTCCTTCACCTCCTTATTCCTCAGACTGTAGATCAAGGGGTTCAGCATGGGAGTCACCACAGCGTAGAGCACCGCAGCCCATTTATCTTCTTTTGAGCTGTCTGAGCTGGGCTTTAAGTACATAAAAAGCGATGTCCCGTAGAAGATGCTCACGGTGGTGAGGTGGGAGGCGCAGGTGGAGAAGGCTTTGCGCTTGCCCTCAGCTGAACTGATGCTCAGGATGGCAGAGATGACGGCCACGTAGGAGACCAGGACAACCAGGCTGCTGGACACACCGAATAAAGATGCTGAAGTTCTTAAGATAACCTGGCTGAGGGTGGTGTCGGAGGTTGAGACTGAAAGGGCAGCAAGTGGGGAAAAGGGTCCTTCCGAAGGGACGAAGGAAAGTGCCAGGGCTGGCCCTGTCTCCGGCGGCTCTGATGGAGGTTTCCAAGCCCAACAGCAGATGTGGTGAACCTCTTCCTACAGCCTTTTCACCCCCAGCAAAGGTGAGTGCCAAGGGCAGCAGAAACCACTGTGGGACAAGGTCAGACGATGTATTTTGCAGAGTGGGAATTAGCGTAGACGCAGGATGCCCTGACCCGCACCCTTTGCTGAGCAGGGAGAGGGGCAGCAGGCTGAAACCTCCCAGAGCAACACAAAAGGAAAGTAAATGTCACACGGATTCACACCAAAGTGCGGCCAGATCCAGGCTCTGCCTCCGCTCTCAGCGAGGAGAAACCGTACAAAGCGGGGTCGGGTTAGACATCACCTCGGACGCCGCGAATTGGTGTTTTACAGACTTGGAGCCAGAGGCTGCCCTTCCCTGATGGTGCACCTCTGGGAGCAAACCCCCACCCTCTGCGCAGCGTTCGGGACTTAAAACCCTTCCACGGCCACATCCTTGCCTTTCCTTTTCTCTCCAGCAGAAAAATCAGCTGCAGAGCGCAGTGCGATGCCATGATGAGCCCTGGCAGGTCTGGTCCTGCCTGGGGCTGAGCCCCCTCCATCCTCCTCCCCGCTGTCAGAGCCGCCTCTCGCACCTCCTCATCTCCCTGCTCGATACCGGCCCCGCGGCCATGGCCCGGCTGACAGCGGGAGACGGATGGGGCTGAGCCAGCGCCGCAGGGCACGGGATACGTGCGGGGATGTGACGGACGCAGGGGGCTTGAGGAGATGGTCCCTCCCTGGTTTGCATCCGTCCCAGTCCCAAAGCCCAGTGCTGCCCACACAGCCCCCCTCGGCCACCCTGCAGCATACGGGGGCCAGGGGGTTTCCTCTCCCTTACGATGGCCACGGGAAGGATTTAAGCCCTGGCCCCAAAGCAGAAGTGAAAGCTGAGTCCCAGTTTGGAGAAAACAGCTGGCTTTGTGCGAAGCAGGGAGGGATTTCAGCCCTTGCCCAGTGCCACCATCAACAGAGTACCGCTGGGGACAGAAAGCCATCAGCATCCCCGTGAGGATGTCCCCTGTTCCCTCCAGAACCATCCCCAGAGCCCCAGCATCCCTCATCCCACCCGGATACACCCCCGTGGCGTGCAATGAGATGGTGTCCGTGGCCCCGTTGCAGTTCAGAGGGGAGTGGGGGGCTCCGGAGTAGCTCCTCTGCTTTCCCCCCCACCCCTGCGCCCGTCACCTCCCCGCACGCATCCCTTGCCCCCGCGGCTCTGACTTATCCCCATCCATCTCCCGCTGTCAGGCCGCTATCGAGCGTCGCGATGGGAGGCGTGGAGTGGAGGGGGCTCAGCCCTGGGGGTCCCAGGTACCAGAGCAGGGATGGGACCAGCATTTGGGAGGGGTGCAGGGGAGTGGGGAGCACTTTCCTCCCGCCTCCGCGGAGACGCAGAGGCTTTGCACAAGCCACCGGCACGTTACGGATACCTCAACACCTCGCCGTGCTTTTTAATACGGGGTGTTGACGGCAGGCTGTCAGCCGAGCCGCCGGGGCACCGGGGGGGGCCCCGGGGCCACAAGGGGGTTTCTTTTTTTGCCGCTGGTGCACAGGCGGCTGCCGCGTGCCAAGAGGGGCTTTGCCTGGGGGAGAGGGTTGGAGCAGCCCCCATCTCCCCCCACTCAGATGTGTGACATGAAGGGGACAAGGAGACCCCAACAGAGTTGTACCTCCCAGCCCAGGGTACCCCGAGATCCGGCTGGGCACTGGTGGCGGTCCCAGCAGTCCCAGTACCACCGCTCGCCTCCCGTCCATCATCATCATCGCGTCAAGGCGTGAAGGCAGGTCGGGGAAGGGGGCCGTGCTCCGGCCCCCAAGGACCACTGTGGCTCCAGCCCCAACGTCTCCACCCCCGAGCTGGGGCATAAAACCCCCAGCAGGCTGCGGGGGACAGTCCAGAGCTGGCGCTGCGCTGGGAGGGGGCTTCATTGGGGTCCCCACTGCTGCCGTGACGAGGGACGGAGCCACAGACACCTCCTGCCCACCCACTGTACCCATGGCAGGTAAAACCCACCCGCGGCAACGCTGCCCCATACCCAACGGTGGGGTCCCGCAGTGTTTTTGGGGTGCAGTGGGTCACCCGGCCACACAGGAGAGTAGGGCTGCGGTGGGGGGGGACAAAACCCCACTTTGGTGGGGGGCCAGGACCCCCCTGGTCCTCCCAATGCCTCCACAGAGGGAGGATGCGATGGGGCGGCCGCAGTGCATGGGGTCTGCTCCCACATCTGGGGTGCAGGATCAGACCCCCCCTCTCAAAACCCCCTCACCCCTCTTCAGCCTTCCTGGGGGGGCCGGGCGAGAGGCCCCCCTGCAGCACTGGCCCCGGGTGGGCAAGCGAGGGACCAGGGGCCGACGGCAAGAACCGGCGCGTGTGCCATGCCGCGGCACGGCTGGAGATGGGCAGCCTCTGGGAGGAATTCAACCGCCTGGGCACCGAGATGATCGTCACCAAGGCGGGCAGGTAGGTACCGCAGCGGGGCCAGGGGGCTGCCGGGGTGGGGGGCCCCCCCTTCCCACCCCCCCGTCCCCGCAGGAGATGTTCCCCAACCTTCCAGGTGAAGCTGTCGGGGCCGGACCCCCGGGCCGCCCACGCCCCGT